GCCAGAAGCCAGTGACTAAGGTAATCAACTGAATTTGCCATTTTCTACAGTATTTCAATATCACCAAGCAGGCACATTTTCCTAAACTAGCTAGGACAGCACTGATTTCGTCAAGAATTCAGTATATTTGAGAGGAAGTCAGCTCTAGCTTAGTTTGTTGATGCTTATTTCTTACTGTGTAGCTTATGAATATTCTCCCCCTGCCATGTTGTACCTGTAGCAGAGAAAACAATTTACTGGAAACAGACACAACTCAGCCTCAGCAGCTAAAGCTATTGTTGTTATTGATTGTGTGATCTCCTGTGCTCACACTTTGACTAGGGGTCAAACAAACTGGTTTCAGTTAAAGCAAGAATTTTAACTTTTCACTTTCACTTTCACTTCAAATGTACTAAAGCTTGATAGATAATTCATTCTGAGTATATGTGTGTTTCTGAAAAAACCGTACCGCCTACCTTGCTCCCCCCCAAACAGGCAGGTGGGAGATAACTGGCTGCTCTGATTGGGCTCCCACAGGGTTGTGCCAGGAGTGAGCCCTGCTGCACTTTCAGGAACATCAGAGGACTGATTGGGTGAGCTGAGGCAGGAGGCTGTTTCCCAGACCCTGCTGCCTGGTAGTAATTATTTCTATTCTTGCAGTCTTCTTTGATTCCACAACTACTGTTTCTATCTACTGCACAGCATGCAAAGCTGGTCTCCGAGCTTGCCTTGCAGAACCCAGGGAATCCTTTTGCACCCATATTTCCTTCTTGGCAAGAGAAAATGAAGTCAGCTATATCCAGTGTCTTTTTATCTCTATATCATGTTTTTGCAAAGATAGAAAGAAATATGTCCTGGTCACTCACAGTTGATCCAAGGGATAGAAAGTGACTATGAGACAGTCTTGGAGTCCTGTTTCTAGTTAGAAATGACTCTGAAGAGCTTTTCTGTGCTACCAGAGGACTACCAGTCAGTGACAGGCACGTCTTTTGCTGCGGGCTGCCAGCACAAGTTTCCTTTCATTGACCTTCTGAGCAGCAGCCGCTCTCATCCCTGGGGATCATCCAGTGCACATTTTCCAACAAAACTCCTCACGCAGACAGCATTTACATTTCCTATTAACCTTTACAGGCCAACCAGAGAAGACTCAGCCCAACACCCAGCCCCAGCAATGGCCGAGCAGTGACAGTGCCTGGCTCCTATTCAGGGCAAGGACCACACATTTCTACCAGTTAGTTCGGGCTAAAATAGAAGTTTAAAAGACTGCATTTAAAATATACACAGCAGCTAACAGTGCAATAAGATATGTATGAAACAATCTGAGTGAATAGGCATTTGTCTCAGGTTCATGCTTTCAGATGAGCCTGAAATGGAAACCAAGCAGTAGGCAACAGAAGCATCAACATGTCTTTGCTCACTTCTTGGGCTGAGGCCTGGTCTGTGCATGGATCTGCTCAGAATGCAGCAAAAGACAAAAAAGAGGGCTGTTTTTATTAAACTGAAATCAAGGAAATATGATACTTTGTGAAAAGGAAGCCATGAGAACACGTACAGAGGTGAAACCAGCCAATATCACATCATATCATAGAATCATAGAATGGCCTGGGTTGAAAAGGACCACAATGATCACCTAGTTTCAACCCCCTGCTATGTGCAGGGTCACCAACCCCCAGACCAGGCTGCCCAGAACCACATCCAGTCTGGCCTTGAATGCCTCTGGGGATGGGGCATCCACGACCTCCTTGGGCAACCTGTTCCAGTGCATTACCACACTCTGAATGAAAAACTTCCTCCTAAAACTTCCTGTCATCAGCTTTCCAGCTGATTTTTCTGCTTCATGAAAGCTGCATTTGCTGAGGTCTGCCTGCAAAATCGTGGCCATGATCAGTGTCAGCAGTTCTGTGGGCAGCTGAGCCGCAGAAGGCCTTCCTGCTGCTGGGATGCCCGCTCCCCTGCTTGGGTTCTGAGACCCATCACTGTGCAAAGGAGCCAGGATTTTGGGGACATATTTACACAAATAAGGAAACATACCCTGGCTCAAGCTTGACTGTCATACAATCGGTTCGCCATACTTTTCTTATAAAAAGGCATTTTGTTGGTAAACCTTTCTTGCTTCTCAAACTAAAAGCAGGCCTGCCCCTCCAAAACCAACTTGGATCTAAACAGACCACAAGGTTTTTCAGGAAAAGGATGCCTAGTATAAAGACTGGCATCTGTAAGTGTCAGTCTAACAGAAAGTTTGACTTTTCTGTTCCAAAATATCCTTCCCAGTTCTTCAGTCTGGGAAAATATTGAACGATTCAGTGAGGTTATAATGATGTTTCAGTTTGCTGGAAACGTTTTAATTCTTTCCGCAGCTCCATTAAGCATTTTCCTCACAGAAGAATTTGCTGGAATAGTTGATGTGGAATAAAATACTCCACAGTGCCCATCCAGGACAGAAATGTTCCGGCTCAGTACACTGCTGCCTTTTTCTTAGTTTAGCCCATTTGGGGAATTAAATTAAGCTAAAATGGATTCTCATTTGGAATAAGTTTCCAGTCACAGAGGTGCTCAGGAAACAGTTTAAATTTTAAATGAATCTGAGTTAGCTTCAGAGCAATTTCCTAACACTGAGTCTCATTTTATTACCATACGTCCCAGGGAGGAGATGGAAAATGAAGAAACAGACAAAATCCCCAGACGTCTCCACACGGCTTTCAAAAGGTGATTTGGCTTCGCTAGGATCCAGCTGAGAGCAGCAGCGAGCGAGCGCTTAAGGAAAATCCCACTGTGTCAGACAACTTTCCCTTTCAAAGACTGGCTTCCCACAAGAAAGCCCATGGGAACCAGAGGACAAGCTGAAAGCCCCGCATTGCAAAATGTGAGTGACGTGCGTTGCCCTGAGGATTGGTCCTTGGGATGACTCTGCAGGCAGCGTGGAGTGAGTTTCAGACTTCATGCTTAGGGACTGAGGGGCCTACTGCTGATGTGACAAATATTGCAGGGAATGGAAAAATAAATGAAAAAAAAGCTCTCCCTGCTTCTCCCGCTACGGGAAGTGCATGGCACCCTGTTCCACTTGCTAGGCAGCAGATTAGCAGAAACAAGTGGGAACGTGTCCTCACAAGCACTGTGATGACTCTGTGGATCATCAAGGGGACAAATGCATCAAAGCTCTGTTATACGACCAGTTACAGTAGGAGCAGTGTTGGTATGTGTGATTGTTAGAGCTGAATTGAGTGGCTAAGAAAGGTCCAAGTGCAACTGTTCACAAACAGTAAAAAAAAATCAATGTCATTAAAAGTCCTCTGTCCACATTCACACTGTAAGACTCCGGGATGATCTTGTTTTACAGCAAAGACAACCTGGCACACTTGAGCACAAAAGTTCTTTCCTAGCATTTATTTTAGGGATGTGTTACTTGAGAAGGGGGTAAAAGCTGCATCCCATTGCTGAGAATCATGCTGTGCTGTCAGAGGCTAGAACACGGTGCCAGCAGCTTGGGCTGGGGACTTCCTGCCTATTTTTAGCGTGTTGCAATCCTAGCCTCTCACCCACACTTTCTCACCCCCGCAGGATGTTGGCACTGGCCCCTCTGCAGCTGATGATGAGCTAGCTGCCTGCATCCCTTCCCGGCTGTGGCACTGGTGTTGGCTCTTACACATAGGCTGGGGCGAGAGCACACACTGAAACGGGGGTTGGTGGCAAAACTGCTTTCAGCCACTTTTCTGGTGGGGAAAATTTAAGAAGTGACTCAGAGCTCTCAAATACTTGATAGCACAGTGCTAAACCTACATGTGCGTTTCTCACAGGAGCTGTTAGCGTGGTACCCAACTCTGACCTGCAGTCAGTTTGGCTGACCTCTCTGCTGTGAGCCACAACGTTATTGATGACTCCACAGCTAATTACCCATTACACACATCCCAGGATACCAGCCTGTGGTGGGACAGTGATTACTGTGCATCTGCTGTGCATAGTCCTATGCCAACAGTCAGCAGGAGCAGATTGCTGTACATTCCCCACCACCCCACCCCTCCATGGAGAGGGACATGCTTTACTGCTCACACATCTCTCTGAAGAGAAAGAAATTCCAGAAACCTGCTGGCTCTGCTCGTTGGATTTTGCAGCAAGCCCAGGTGCAGCTCTTACTCGATAGGTTTAAGATCTATTCAAACAACTTCCAGACAGCGGCAAAGCTTTTTTTAGCAAAGGCCCACGTACACACAGCACTCCCATATGCACCATTCACTGTGCTGCTTCTTAATACTTTCCATATCAGTCACTGCTGCACATCAGGATATACATATTGAGATGTGCCCTTCCCTTTTGATTCATTCAGAATTGTCACCATGCGCACTGTGGATGTCAGAGTGGTGTCACCTGTCGCTTGCACTGCCCTGTGACACAGCACAGTAAAAGTGAGGCTGTTAGGAAATGACTCCTCACTGCTGCCATGGCAGTGGCAGCAAACAATCAGAGCACATTAGATAACAGGGCATTTAATAATGTACTGTAGTAACAGTATCTGACAGGGTTTGGGCAAGGAAAAGTGAAAGGCTGGGACTCTGGCTTTGGCTTTAGACAGTGCTGGGTGATTCTGATAGAGCTGAGCACAAATTAAAAGCACATAGTCATCAGGAAGAGCCTCTAACTTCTGCAGTCTGCTTTTCCAAGAGCACTCTGTTCCTGGAGCTGCAGCTTAGCACGACACATTCAGTTTTCTTTTTTTCTATCACCTGTGGTTACAAAACAAAGGCTGAAATGTGATTTCCAAATACACAAGAGACTACAAAGCTAGCATCACCCCAGCCCCAACTACCCTCCCCCAACCCCAGTACTTTCTCTTCTGAATTAAAATGCTTTTGTTTGTTCTTACTTTTACATTTAAGGTTGAGGACTAACATGAAGTGGCACAACATCACCATCTTTGCTTGCAGCCTTTCTCAGTGCAGTGGGCTGCAGAAGACAGCAAAATCCTCAACTGTGTGGAACTTAAACAAAAAAAAAATTATTTAGACCTTGCCATGGAGGGTCAGAGACAGACTTCCAGCAGCTGCTGCTTAAAATAGCAATGGTTTTCTCAGTTTATAAATGTAAATACCTCTAATGGACACAGCACCGCAGATAGGGGCCGCTTCCCCTTCATTTCTGTAAATCTAGTGCTCCAGATGAGGGATCAAACAAAACTGCCAAAATAACAATGCATCATGGAAAACCTGCAGGCAGGCTGAGATGATGCACGAGCACGGGACTGCGTGTAAATCCAGAAACAGGCTCCACGTCCTTGGATACACATCAACTGGTGTGCAAACACAGCAAGGGAACACAGCTCTGCTCCTTGCTGCTGCCTGGGTAAGGGCTGTGCCCAGGACCCCATGGCCATCACTCCCCATCAGGTCGCACAGCTGTGCTGCAACGGCCACCAGAAAGTGCCTCACTGAACACAAAGAGGTGATTTCACAACTAGTGCAGAAACTGAACAGGCTGTTGAATTCAGCGCAGTGTCGCAACCCTGCGCTTCTGTCCTTCCTTGGGCATGGGAGGCTCTTGCTTTTTGACAAAACAGCTTGTGCTTAATTCATCGTAGTTATTGTCTCATGAATAAAGGAATAAAGGCTGCTTTTTTTTTTTTTTTTTTTTATAATTTGAAATGTGGCATGGAGGGGCCTGAAAACTTTCAGGGTGGGTTGGTTTTTTGTGTGCAGTTTTTGTTTTATTTTCCCCCTTCCATTCTTGTGAGTCGGATGCTCATAGTTTCAATCCCATTCAGGAACACATTATCTTATGACTAGTATTGTCTTCCTGGCACACCACGTGAAGTCAGGCAGCGACTACTTGCTGACACTGAGCTAATCCCCAAGGAAAAAGATGATCCCAATAGACAGTGAACCCAATGGAAAGGCAGTTTTATCTGAAATGCTCTGGCCAGACCTCACACCTGCACTCACATAGCTGTAGGATCTGAGCACACAGACACAGAGGTAGTTTGGGTTTACATCTCTCTTTGTCCCACAGCAGCTCTCCTCAATGTGGATGACCTTAAAGATGAAAAAAAAAAAAATCATGAGAAGTAAAACACAAGCAGAAACCATCAGTTCAAACATTTTACATGAATCACCAAAACTGCACATTTTTATACAAACAGTGTAATGTAGCTCTTGATGGTTTTGCATCTCTGCAAACGCAAGAGGCAAAGCAGAAGACACAAATATATTTTGTTACATCTAAACATTCCAATAACCAGAAAAAGAATGGGGGCAGGAATAGGGGCACAAGGAATTAGGGTAAGACAACGTTATTTATAAATAAATTCTCTGGGGGAAAGACATGAACAACTTTTCTACCAGAAGCCTTGCATTCTTGCCATATTTTCCTTAAACACTTTGAGGACTTGATTATTCTGAGAAGCTGCTGGTACAACACACAAACCTCTCTGATGGCTCAGCAAAGTGCTAGCACGCAAAGGGCCCGGCACCAGTCTGCTCTTTGCTTCTGCACAGGGCTGATGGCAGAACTGGGTCTTCCCTTGCACCAAACTGGGCAAATCCACATCTAGCAGCCAGGAACCTGAGCTCCCACTGTCCACGTAAAGCTTTGCTCTCCCTGCTGCCAAAAGAACACACATCACTGATGGGCTGAGGCTCCTTTCCTGCATCGCTGGAGATAGATTGTTTGTACATCAGAGATTACTGCAAAGTCCAGACCGGACCATTCTTGTCTGTGGAGAAAATGAGAAAGTACAAAAGGTGAGTCCAGGTTATGTTTATAGACATTCTGTGCAGCCGCAAAGTGGTACAGAAACTAGAGAATGCAGAAGGGCACTGAAAAGTACCAGCTCCAGGCAGATCTCTTATGTCACCTACCTGTGAACAGTCTGCAGGGAGATGCGAGCATGGCTGCTGCCACCACTGAGCTAGGAAAACAGAACATGTGTTGAACACCTTCAAGAATTAAAGCAGTACATGAAATCTGGATTTGAAGTTTCTAGATTTAAAGGAATGCATCTTCTCATGAACACTGCACAAAATTATACAAGTAACCGTAACTCAAGCAGTTCCTTTTCATGCCCGATATTGCATCCATAATTATGCTCCCCTGGCACAGATTTTGATGTGTAACTCACACACTGACGTAACAACTTGTGTAACACACTAGGCTCTGTGTCATTCACCAGGCTGAAACTGTTGAGAGGAAATCCTGCCTGTTCAGCATTGCCTTTACGCAGCCTTCCCTGCCCTTCCCTCTCAGCTCCACATCTGACTGGGCACATCTCTTATTTACCTCCCTGTATAGCTCACGTTCATTTACACCATTCACAGTCAGATACACCATGCTGTTGGCAGCAGTATCATGGCAGAAAATAGAAGCTACCTGCTCTCTCCCGCGGCTCTGGAGTGCTGTATGCTCCTCTTTTTCTCCACAGTATGCAAACAGCAATGTGTGTGTGTGTGTGTGTGTGTGTTTGATGGGGTATTTGGTCTCTCTTTTTAAGCCTGCTACTTATAGCCAAGCAGCTCTGTTTATGCTGGCTCTCTCGGATTAGTTCCTCTTACATTAGGGTCAGTAGATTCTCATTGACTTCAAATCAAAGTTTAACCACAGCTGTCTTTAACTTTGAAACAAACTCTACTTGTGGGTTTTTTGTTTTTTTTTTTTAGGAAAACATTATCTTGATATTCTTGCTAACACTTCATCCACCTGTTGTGACTCTTGGCATTGTTTGCAGTTGAGATTGCAAAAGATTGGAAAACACAAAGGAGGGGTTGGGAAAACCCTTGGGTTCCTGGTTTGGGATTCAGCTGAAACGTGTTGCTGTACGCTGACAATGTGTGGGCTTTCAGTTCAGCATGACACCCACTGCCATCGAGATGATGACATTGGAAGAGCAAAGAAACCTTTGCTCTTCCACATTCAGGTCATCCCATTCCAGGGACAAATTAATGGTCTTCTATTACTCTGAGATATCTATACTCAGCATTATTCTCAAGTACTTTTTAGGGTAAAATAAGATGCAGTAAATAGAAGTGCTGGTAACTTTCAAAACAGGTCCCACTATGTATGTATGATCAGTGTTTTTTTTATTACATATCCATAAGGAGAGGGTTTACCCTCACCAACATAAGCTAGCAGTAAGCTATTCACAATCAATACAATCTATTTCTGGGCTTTAGCCCACATGGTGCCAAGCACCTGCTGCCCACCCATTTGCACTGTGTTTATCAACACTTACTGGACTCTGCAGCTGTTCCAGGAACTGGGAGACAGCTTCACTAGTATTCGGTAAGAATTCACACCTCCACGCATTGATCAGGTTGTGTAGCCTGTGCTGTACCACCTCGAGCAGACCCAACAATTCAGAGCCTCCTCCTGACTGAGCTCACATTGCTGGGCAGCCAGAGCTCACTAACCCGGGAGAGATTTATGGTTGGCTGGAGATTTGGTGCTGATAACCTTATTTGTGGTGGTAGATTGCTCCCATGCCAGGATTAGTGCAAGACGCAAGAAGGAACACTGTGTTCTGCTATTTATGGTTTCTGTCAGAGCTCCCTCAAAGACTAACATTATTAATCCCCCTGTCAGACAAATGATGCTCAGTTTTAGGTCATCTATGGCTGTATCTCTTACACCTTGGGTGTTCCTGGAAGAGCTTAAGGTTTGATTGAAGGCTGAAGTATGAAAGTAGCAACGTGTATTAGTTGTACTTACTACAAAACTCTTGTTGCTGGATTGCTCCTCTCAGGACCTCTAGAACCAGCAAAATTCCAGGAGCTGCACTGGCTTAACTCAGTGCAGAGACAGTTCCCCATATGGCCAAAGCTCGGTCAGCACCTACTCCACTCACAGCCATCATGGAAACACTGTGTGATTAACAGCATTAAACAACATCTACAGACTGCAGTGGTCCTAAGAACAAACATGTACAGAGCATGGGAGCTGTGGCGGTCAGACATGTAGAAAACAAACCTATTTAGTAAGAACATCATTTGTACAGAACTGCTTTTCAGTGCACAAGTGTGTTCCAAACAAGAATAGTTTCCACTGTTTCCCTTTTCACGCACATGCAGAGCTTTCCAAGCCATTCACCTTTGGCGAGGATCTCATGCCTGGCCCCTACTAGAAGGTCAACTTGTTTTGCAACATGAACAGAACTCTTTCAGCTGTCAAAGCTGTGGGGCAGCAAATGAATTTGCTCTTAGATGTTTTCTGTTTCATTTCATCTCTGCCATCGCATTTTTGCACCCTGAACTTCCTTAAATGAGACTTTTGCAGGCTGGTATACAGAATTTATCCCTGAAGAATTGAAATGTGTAACAGAGAAATGATGTCTGTGTTTCTTTTCTTGGTGGTTTTTTTTTTTTTTTTTTTTTTGGGGGGGGGGGGGGGGGAGGTAGTGTAAACTATAATTT